ATCCGGGGGAATACCAAGGCGTTCCCAGGCCAGCCGAGAGATATAATCTCTCCAGCGTGTCCTGGGTCTGCCCCGGGGCCTCCTCCCGGTGGGACATGCCTGGAACACCTCACCCAGGAGGCGCCCAGGGGGCATCCTTGTCAGATGCCCGAACCACCTCAGCTGGCTCCTTTCGATGTGGAGCAGCAGCTGCTCTACTCTGAGCCCCTCCCGGATGGCCGAACTTCTCACCCTATCTCTAAGGGAGAGGCCAGCCACCCTTCGGAGGAAGCTCATTTCTGCCGCTTGTATCCGCGATCTCGTTCTTTCGGTCACTACCCACAGCTCGTGGCCATAGGTGAGGGTAGGGACGCTTCGCTTTTACACTCAGCTCCCTCTTCACCACGACGGACCGGTGCAGCGTCCGCATTACTGCAGCTGCAGCCCCAATCCGTCTGTCGATCTCCGGCTCCCTTCTCCCATCACTCGCGAACAAGACCCCGAGATACTTGAACTCCTCCACTTGGGGCAGGAACTCATCCCCGACCCGGAGTGGGCACTCCACCCTTTTCCGGCTGAGAACCATGGCCTCAGATTTGGAGGTGCTGATCCTCATTCCCGCTGCTTCACACTCGGCTGCGAACCGTTCCAGTGCGAGCTGGAGGCCTTCACCCGATGAAGCCAACAGAACCACATCATCTGCAAAAATCAGAGATGAGATTCTGAGGCCACCAAAGCGAAAGCCCTCCGCCACTTGGCTGCGCCTAGAAATCCTGTCCATAAAAATTATGAACAGAACCGGAGACAAAGGGCAGCCCTGGCGGAGCCCATCACCCACCGGGAACGAGTCCGACTTATTGCCGGCAATGCGAACCAAGCTCTTGCAACGGTTGTATAGGGATCGAATGGCCCGTAGCAATGGGCCAGACACCCCATACTCCCGCAACACCTCCCACAGGACACCCCGAGGGACACGGTCGAATGCCTTCTCCAAGTCCACAAAACACATGTAGACTGGTTGGGCAAACTCCCATGCACCCTCAAGTATCCCTCCATCATCAAGAAAGCCCAGCAGAGGATGTACTTCCTGAGGCAGCTGAAGAAATTCAACCTGCCAACACGGACGATGATGCAATTCTACACTGCAATCATCGAGTCCATCCTCACCTCCTCCATCACCGTGTGGTACGCTGGAGCCACTATCAGGGACAAACAGAGACTGCAGCGTGTTGTGCGCTCTGCTGAGAAGGTGATTGGCTGCAGACTCCCATCTCTGCAGGACCTGTACACCTCCAGGACACTGCGGCGTGCAGCTCGGATCTCAGCTGACCCTTCTCACCCTGGACACAGTCTGTTTGACCTGCTCCCCTCAGGCAGGAGGCTCCGGTCCATTCGCACCAGAACCTCTCGCCATAAGAACAGTTTCTTCCCCTCTGCTGTTGGACACATGAACAATAACCACATGACTGTCCCCGCCACTAACACATGACCCTACGCTGTGTCACTGCATCATTTCATGTTTGGCACGATCACCACCTGCACTCATGTATATATCTTTCTACGTAGCACTCATAATCTTATTCTCATGTATATATCTCATGTATATCTCATGCACATATCTTTCTTTCTACATAGCACTTTAATTCTTATTGTTTGCACTGAAGCACCGCAGCAATTTCCTAATGTTGTAAACCTCAACATCTGGCAATAAACCCCATTCTGATTCTGATTCTGATTCTGAGAAAAAATACTAGCTGTTCCGCGACCAGGGAGCCGCATTGTTCCTTGTGTATCCGAGGTTCGACAACGGACGAACTCTCCTTTCCAGCCACCTGGCATAGACTTTCCCAGGGAGGCGAGAGGAGTGTGACCCCTGTAGTGTGAACACACCTTCCGGTCCCCTTCTTAAAGATGGGGACCACCACCCCGGTCTGCCAGTCCACAGGTACTGCCCTGATCTCCACGCAACATTGCAGAGGCGTGTCAACCAGGACAGCCAAGCTGGAGGAGGTGGCTGGGGAGAGGGAGGTCTGGGCCTCTTTGCTTAGCCTGCTGCCCCCGCGACCCGGCCCCGGACAAAGCGGATGAAGATGGAACAAAGAAATCATATAAAGATAATACAAACAGATGTCAGTGCTGGGATTTAGGATTTAGGAAAAATCACAAGTTGTCCGAGTACCTGCAGCTCCTGCATGCACTCCTCCATCTGCACTGTCTGGTCTCCCACACACCAGGCCAGACTCACGTGGAAGGATGGATCCTATGAAACACATTAAGGAACATTATAGGCTCTTTCAGTGCTTTTTTTCTAAAGATGAGATGATAAAATTATTATTATTTTTTTTAAATTTGCTGTTTGTTCTCTGATGTGTCATATTAAAGTCTATGCTTGGTATCTGTGTTTAACACCACGCCTGCCCTTCGATCAGAATGAAGAGGCCGGTGCAACATAGAGGAACATCGCGCTCACTAATCAGAACCCTGCATTTAATGTGGCATTACTCTACTGCATACAAAATCATCACACAATAGCGGGTAAAGCTGCAGATTTGTTTGTGTGTGTGTTTAACTGACCTTGTAGAAAGTCTCCAGGCGAAACTCTGTCATCGTCCTGTCAACAGCTCGGATCAGATCCAACATCTGAGCATGCCCAGTTGACACTTCCATCCCCAGGAATGTCCTGCAGGCAAAACACACACACAGAAACTGGAGCAGCATACTTTTTGGCAGCAGATCTGAACAGTCTGTGCAACAATGACAATATGTGTAAAGTATGAGGACAGTTATGCATCCAGTTTGATGATATACTAAATGTTATGTTTTCCCCTAGCTGGCTGATCTGGGGTGGGTTTTATTTCCTTGTTGAGGAACGCAGCTGTGAGCTGCAGCAAGAGTGCCGCTAACTAAGTCACATATTTTGACTTTCAGCTGTCCAGGATCGATGTCTGTCCACCTTCAAGTTTAGAAGGAACGCTTCTTTAAACATTTGCTTTCGCAATCTAATCTTTGTTAGTTGCACAGTCAGCTCTTTACTTCTAATGTTCACAGACATCTAAACGTTGATCCTAAAATCTACACGATCTCACAATCAACACCGAACCACATGGAAGCGCTTGTGTGCAATTTTGTGGCTTTGTCTCGAACAAAGCTCAGCATGCATGTTTTATCAGTACACATGTCAGTGAGCTGGTGTGGATGTGCTGAAGCTGTGTAACGGTCCAAATACTTACAGTCTGACTTCTGTTCGAATTAAAAACTCAACTGTACCTCGTTTTCTCTGCATTAGAGTACATGCGCAGTCTCCCTGCCGAGCACACGAACCTGGCGATGAGCAATACAACCAGAATAAGTGTGTCACCAGAGTTATAGATAACTGCATTTTTCTGCACACTGTTTCCTTTATTTTTTCCTCTTTTTACCATCTGGTCTTGTGATTTTAGATTTTTAAATGTTAAAACTCTTTTGCATCTTATAAAATAATGCCGCCTTACTTACCATTACATTAGTGTTGTCACAATACCAGTATTTCTGACTTTGAAAGCTTGACATTTAAAGCTGGGAAAATGCAATAAAACTTCTGATTTTTATTAAAATTAAGTATATTATAGCTGTGCCATGACAACAAGGTTCATTTTATCGTATTAGCACCAACATAACAAACTGCTATTAGACTAAAAATTTGTCAGTCACAAATCATTAACCTATGAGTGGGCTTATTTAATACAGCTGATAATCCTATATTTGACACATAGATTGACCTAGATTTATAAAATCAACAATTTCTTACTCAATCTGAACCAAAATGAGTGACTGAGTCCATAAACTCAGCAGGGAAGTGTTTATAGAATTCTGTTTTTCCATACACTTCTATAGGACCTGAGTCTTTTCCCCCCACAGTTATCGCCATCTAGTGGCCTAAAGATTGAATGCAGGATTTTAGGCACTCTGCACTGGCTTCACTTCTCCTACACAGAAGTGTGGCCATGTTTATTTTTATTTTAACCACCTGTGATCAAATTCACACAGAAGCTTCTTGGGGATGAAGCCAACACAGAGATGCCAAAAGCTGCAGCTCCCTCCAATGGCCACTTGAGGGTGGCTACAAAAGCAAGCCAACACCCACTGGCTTGTCCCGCGTTAAAATACCCAACTTCAGAGATCAAATCTAGATGTTTACAGCCTGGTACACAAAATGTTTTTGACTCTATAAATTATATTTTCAACTTATTTAATAAGTCATTCATCTGGGTTTTGTTAAGGTTTAAAGTTAAGAGTTTGCCAAAAACTAAACTGGAGGCTTTAAGAAAAAGCAGAGCTGTACTCTACATTAAAAAAAATATAGCTCTCTTTTTGACATCACTGAAGTAAATAATTAATCCATATCATTATAATAAATTAAAAAAAAAAACATAAAACAACCTTTTGCAGCCTGTAAGACTTGACTTGAGGCTCTGTGTGAACGGCTGGATCCAGTGGTGTCTGAGCACCACTGTCTGGGACAGGCTGAGGTGGAACTCATCCTGCACAGTCAAAACCACACCCCGGGCACATGCTGCCGAGAGAATCCCATCCAACAGCTCCCCAAACTCCTCTTCAGGATGATCTGAGGAGACAGAGAGCAAAGCAGGTACAAGGTGAGAAATCAAGACGTGATCTTTGTTGACTGGTCGCTTGCTGTACACAGTGACTGCCTTACATGGGAAATAAACGTAGCTAGCCCAGTTTCCTCTTTCATGCTTGAAGGAGCGGATGCGTCCACCATGAAGAGAGCTGTCTTCAGTCTGTGAGTCCACCTCATCTGGAAACATGGCCAAGACACAGCCAGGGAGAGGCAGTCTGCAGAAAGCACAGCCAGGATGGAGTAATTCTTTTTACCCAGCACGCTTTAATATAATTTATATTTTCCTCAGCTGTGACGTAAAGAATTCTGGGCGTCCTGGGAAACGCAGGATTTCTCACTCAACGGTCACTTTTGTTATTGTTTGATTGAACAATTATTTGCTCCAATTTATGTTATTCTATCTGAAAATTTTGTATCAGCCTTGTAAAGATGGAGTTATGTTTTCTCACCTTTTGTTTTGTCTGCGTGAAAAATCCAAAGATAGACACCTGAAAATCTTGCTTGACAAAGAAATGCATCAAATCCTCACAAGTAAAAAGTGGGAAAATAGCAGTTACGTAATTACTTTAAAAAGTTCATAGTATTCAATTATGAAATCTTTTTGGTTTTTGTTCACTGTTTATGATTTATATGGGTATTACTGACCTTCACAGTTTATATAGTTAGGTCAGTTTGGTGCCAATGACGAGAACTTCCGTTTTTATGACTATTCAATTTGAGAAAGTTGCAGGGAAACCAGGTTATGATCTCATGGGGCAAACAAAGAGGCAGATGGATAGGACAGGTTTGAAATAACATTTATTTATTTATTTATTATTTAGTTTACTTCACATTTTATAGATTGCCCGTTGCCCATACTGTTTTATTCTGTTATATATTTATTTATAGTTTGGGCAGGTTTGGTCTTCCGTAGTTTAGCTATATCACCAACGCTAACACCCGAGAGAGGGTTACACAGCCATGAGACACACCTTGATTTGGGGCTCTCTTCCTCAGTTTTGGGTTTCTTCCTCGTTGGCAAACCATCATCTTCCTCTTGGCACTTTCGGCAGGTAGTTTCACTCTGATTTTTCGCTCCTTCAGCTTCACCGCCAGCCTCACCGTCCTCCTCCGAGCTGCTGCTGCTGTAGCCAACCAACATTTTAAACTACCTGATATTCCGCCACATTATTTAAAATAAAAGATCAACTCACGGGAGCTCATATAACTTTTTAAACCATGCACATAAGAAAGGTGCCTGCCTTCCAGCGCCTTCTGCGCTTCACTTCCGATATAAACAACCTGTTGTAACCATAAATTAGGTTCCGGTGTAACATAACGCCTGCTGTAAATCAGTTCCCCTTTCGATGGTTTGTGGATTAAAGAAAATGTGTATATACTGTATCAGCTGTGTATCTCATGTGTATTAATGCAGTGTGAGCTATTCGGAACAAAATATACCAAGTTTAATAGAACCATTTAGAAAAATTTTTTTTCTTTTTTTTCCTATTCTTTAAAGTATAGATACGGAACAGGGATAATTTCTTTTTTTTGCTAAATCTTACATTAAAGCCTTCACACACTGGGCTCTATACTTGTGTGTGTGCGTGTGAGCATGCCAATTAACTCTTGCTTTATTCATGTTCCCGTGCGCGCGGGCAGAGGCTCAGTAGCTAGTCGATACCAGGCTAGCAACTTCTTACAAAATGCACATCTTTCCGTGAGCCGCGAGGATGCCCTAGGAGTCGGACGCACGTTTACGTGAAATGATGCTGTTTGCGGGGCTGATGGTGAAATCGCGGGAGAATTTCCGCGTGTTTTAATGAGCCGCAAATCACATTTTTTTCGCCCCCCCGAAGCCACAGCGCTTGAACAAGAGAGCATCCGAGCACCTTTTTGCGGATGTGAGGAAGGGACCCAGCGCTTTTATGGGGAACAGCTAGCCTACGATCATACAGAGAATACTCAGCAGCCTTGACTGGACACTCCGGGTATGTAAACCTGGCATTTTCCCATCGTTGTTTACACGAAGGGCTCGTATAACTAGCGTGTTGCTGTTACTGCTACCTGGCTCTTATTTTGCTGTGACTAGCCTGCTAATCTCCATCGTAAGCTCCTGTGGATGCGTTAGCAAGTGGCTAGGCTAGGTAGCTAAGCTAACCTGGTTACAGTGATCTTCGCCTGGAGACGAGAAACATTATGATGCGCAGACGCTGCTTTCCACTTTTTACCGTGAGTCGTTGGGCATTTAGTTTCGTACATAGAGAGGGGAGGGCACTTCACCGCCACTATTATACCATTTAAATAAAAGCCGGCTCTAATCTTTGCGATCTAAGTCTGTATGTTAATGAGTTCACTTGCTGCTGCTTTCATAGACGTTGCATATCTTCAAACACCCTCACTGTTTACAGCCTAATTGCGCTGGCCTCACCTTGACCAGTATCATTGATCTCGTTGTCATTTCCATGAATATATGCTTTTTGAAGAATGAATGTAAGTGAAGGTCTAATGATGACTGCAATGAGAGAAAGTGCCCACATGTGTAGTTACCCGCACAGTCTGTCATTCACCTGTTTTAAACCTAACATTAAAAGCTTTGCTTCTCTAAAATCTACAGTGATCGCTGAACCTAGTGCAAGAAGCTCACACAAGCAAATGAGCAGTTTTTACTGAGCAGATATTGCCCCATCACAGATGGACTCATAAAGCTCATCCCGTTTTCTGCTCGAACATCTACAGTTTGCCAAAGGATTTCACGATCCAAAGTTTGGACATATCTAATGATTGCTGTAAATTGTTAGCTTCATATAGCAAATAATTTAAAATTTTCACACTTTGAAATCTGAGGCAATGTTTGAACACAAATGGCTAAAAGCTATTGAAGATAAAAGCCTGATATTTTTCCAGCTTTTCTTACCATAAAAGAGAATCAGGAACTGTAATTTGGGACAGTGGTATAAAAAATGTCTCGCTTGTTAAATATGAAAGCCAATTCAAGCAGACCTGCAAAGTCTCATATTTGAGCCCTTCTCCTCCTCCCTTTGATTTGCCTCGATCTCACCCTCCTCTGTCACAACAACCCTCTGCATGTTTTCCTTCACTAAATCCATGAAGCTCCCTTAAGGTCGTCCTTTTCTCCTGCCTGCAGCTCCATCATCAATGCCCGGTATATCCTCTATCCCTCCTCTGCACATGTCCATACCATCTCAGCCTTGCCCCTCTAACTTCTCTCTCCAAACTGCTCAAACCTATCTGCCCCTCTGATGTACTCATTTCTGGTGTAGGTCTGGCTTTAAATTTTTGGTTAAACATATAAAGACTGAACAGATTGTTCAGTCTGGGTGTAGGGCTGGAATCATTAGCTTAAAAACATTATTATCATTACTGAATGCCAGTTGCAGTGTTTGTTATAACCCACTTTAATTCTGTTTTTTTACAGATACTACCTGAAGGCAAAGACTAAAGTGAAAGTAGTTGATTTACCTTTACTACTTCACACACCTGGTCATCTTTTCCCCTTGGCACCTGGCTGTTTTCTCACCTGCATCTCCACCAAGCAGCCTTTGCATTCCGGTGCCAGCTGCAGACATGGAGTGAGTTTATGTTTCATTTCTCCTTCACAAACACAGAAGCTTTTAGCTTGTACTTTGAAATACCTGTTGCTCTCCCTCTCTTCCTGCAGTTGGGCCACACCAGCTGCCAAGCTCAATCCTTACACTCGAGCCCGCATGACAGAAGCCTGGCAGCAGCATGCAGTTGCACCACCTCAGGTTGTCCACACCATCCCTCCGGGTGCTGAGAACGCATTGGGCTGTGCTGTGTATGGTATCGTACTGCAGCCAGACACTACGTCGCTACAGCAGCATGGACAGCAGAGCCAGCATGGACAGCAACACAGTGGGAGTCAGCAGCATGTAGGTGGGCAGCACAGTCAGCAGCAGCAGCACCCTGCCCAGGCCCAGCAGACGTCCCTTCAGGTTGGGACAGAGGGAGGACACAAGTGTGGGGCTTGTGGACATGATATCTCCCACCTGGCAAACCCACATGAACATCAGTGCATGGTGACTCAGGACAGGTCATTCCAGTGCACTCAGTGCATGAAGATTTTCCACCAGGCAACAGACTTGCTGGAGCACCAGTGTGTTCAGGTGGAGCAGAAGCCGTTTGTGTGCGGGGTGTGTAAGATGGGCTTCTCCCTGCTCACTTCTCTCGCCCAGCACCACACATCGCACAACAGCACCAACCCGATGAAATGTTCAATATGCGAGAAGACCTACCGGCCCGGCTCTTCTGGCAGCGCTACACCCAACTCCTCGAGCAGCTCCCAGCAGCCCAGCAGTGATGGGGCGTCAGCCAGCAGCAGCTCGTCCATTCTGCCGTTCCCCTCGGCCCGAGACCGGCCCTACAAATGTTCCGTGTGCCAGAAAGGCTTCAAACACCTCTCAGAACTGACACGGCACGAGAGGGTTCACACGGGGGAAAAGCCCTTCAAATGTGACACGTGCGACAAAGCCTTCAGCCAGTCGTCACACCTGCAGCACCACCAGCGAACACACAGCAACGAACGTCCATTCAAGTGTGCTGTCTGTGAAAAGAGCTTCAAGCACCGCTCCCACTTGGTGCGCCACATGTACGTGCACTCGGGTGAGCACTTGTTCAAATGCAACTTATGTGAACTGCACTTCAAAGAGTCTTCAGAGCTCCTTCACCACCCTTGCCACCCGCAGGGTTCTCGGCCGTTTCGCTGTGCCACCTGCGGTAAGGGTTTCAAGCGGCCATCTGACCTTCGCCAGCACGAGCGCACACACTCAGAGGAGCGTCCGTTCCACTGTGACGAGTGTCAGATGAGTTTCAAGCAGCAGTATGCACTGGTGCGCCACAGCCGCACTCATAAAGACCCCACAGACCGCCCATTCAAATGCAATCTGTGCGACAAGGGCTTCATGCAGCCCTCTCACCTCCTCTACCACCAGCACGTCCACGGCATGGACAACTTGTTCAAGTGCGCCTCATGCCAGAAGGAGTTCAGCCAGTCAGGAGAGCTGCTCAGGCACAAGTGCGGGGAGTCGTCCAACAACTCGCCTGACAAGCCATACAAGTGTGACGTTTGCGGCAAAGGCTACAAGAAGAGTTCCACGTTACAGCGTCATCAAAACTCGCACTGCCAGGAGAAGCCCCTCAAGTGCTCGCTCTGCGACCGCCGCTTCCTGTCCTCTTCAGAGTTTGTGCAGCATCGCTGCGACCCATCGCGGGAAAAGCCACTGAAGTGCCCTGACTGTGAGAAACGTTTCAAGTACTCGTCGGACCTGAACCGACACCGGCGCGTGCATACAGGCGAAAAACCGTACAAGTGCGGTCATTGCAATAAGGGCTTCAAACAACGCGAGCACTTGACCAAACACCAGAGCACGCACTCCAGAGAGGGTCAGTTCAAGTGTGTTTGGTGCGGAGAGCGTTTCAGTGACTTGGGCTCCTTGCAGGACCACACAGTGCAGCACACAGCTGATGGAGGGGGCTACCCTGTGCCCCAGTGCATATAAACCCTTGACTTCTTAGTTTGAACTTTTGTCTGTCCCTTCTGGGCTATTTATTCAGCCTAACATTAACCACACTTTCAGGAGAGTCCTGAATTGTTGTATTCATTCCAACAGTGCTACATCAGGGTTTTGTTGCTCTGCTAATCTGCCCAGTTAATGTTACTCCAAGTCTTGTCATTCCATAAAAACTGAACATTTTTTTGTCTCTTCTTAAATCTGGTCCTTATTTTAATAAACCCAACCCTTACCACAACCACGTAACTCCCAGGAACAAGTGCCATATTGCAGGTTGATCTAGCAGATCCACCCTAATTTCCTCCCCTCAGAAATGAGCAGAATCAGAATAAGAAGCATTCCTGTTACGTCGGTAAAAAGTAAGACAGGATTTGTTGTTTTTAAAACAGTTTGGTAGGATGTTTAAGAGAGTATTGAGTAAATCATTCAGGCTGAGTCGCAACTTTTAGTATCCACTAAAGTGGAGTCCTCTTGTTTTTCTTCTTCTTCTCACCTCTTGCTACTATAGCCCTTTTCAAACATGGGATGCAAAGCATTCCATTAAAGTGATAGCAGATTGTCATTCAGGCATAGGTCATATTTACGTTATTGGCGCCCATGGTCTCATTCAGACATGCATCAGACCTACTATGGTACTCATGCAAAATCTTTTCATACCTCGAGAAAAAAAGCTTGAGTGTCATCAGTATTGACTCCAGACTTTAGATTCTTTTCTCTGTGTGCGCTGCAGCAGAGAGATGTTTCTTCTGAAATTGGAAAAG